GTGGTTAAATAAATTTAATAAATGCGATCGAGAAAAAAATCGGCCAAAAATCGTTCGATCGAAATTTCAAGCGTGGCCAAGTAAATTTAATAAATACGATCGAGAAGAAATCGTCCAAAAATCGATCGAGAAAAAGTTTTGAGCGTAGCTAAATAAATTTAATAAATTCAATCGAAAAAAAATCGGCCAAAAATCGCTCGATCGAAATTTCGAACGTGGCCAAGTAAATTTAATAAATACGATTGAGAAGAAATCGGCCAAAAATCGTTCGATCGAAATTTCGAGCGTGGCCAAGTAAATTTAATAAATACGATCGAGAAGAAATCGGCCAAAAATCGCTCGATCGAGAAGAAATCGGTCAAAAATCGATCGAGAAGAAATTTCGAGCGTGGCTAAATAAATTTAATAAATGCGATCGAGAAAAAATTGGCCAAAAATCGCTCGATCGAAATTTCGAGCGTGGCCAAGTAAATTTAATAAATACGATCGAGAAGAAATTTTGAGCGTGAACAAGTAAATTTAATATATACGATCGAGAAGAAATCGTCCAAAAATCGATTGAAAAAAAATTTTGAGCGTAGCTAAATAAATTTAATAAATACGATCGAGAAAAAATCGGCCAAAAATCGCTCGATCGAAATTTCGAGCGTAGCCAAGTAAATTTAATAAATACGATCGAGAAGAAATCGGCCAAAAATTTTTCGATCGAAATTTCGAGCGTGGTCAAATAAATTTAATAAATACAATCGAGAAAAAATCGGTCAAAAATCGATTGAGAAGAAATTTCGAACGTGCCTAAATAAATTTAATAAATACAATCTAGAAGAAATCGGCCAAAAATCGCTTGATCGAGAAAAAATTTCGAGCGTGGCCAAGTAAATTTAATAAATATCGAGAAGAAATCGGCCAAATAAATTTTTTAAATAAATTTAGAAGGAGAGAGAGAGAGAGAGATGGCCGAGTTTCCCTCGTTTCGAAAGCGCCGAGCGAATCGTGCGGGTGGTGAGTCGAAAAGTGAGATAATGCGATTTTTGCGAAGAGAAATCGCAACGTGTTCGTGTGTATATATATATAT